AGCAATCCATGGAATATCGTATTTCTCCCAAAACGAAAGGGTAATAGAGAAGAATGTACCAACAATGAATAAATACTATAACAACAGTATTCAAATATTCATCTGTGTTCTTGAGATGATGCTAATTCAGCAAATGTTTCACAACCTTCGAAGAACTTTGAGTAAAGGAGATGACCTGTTGCATAAGCAGCACAGTTTGACAAAGCGTTTGACAAAGCGCTCATATTGTAATAATGTGATGGTGTCTTGCAGGTTTTTCTTCTTTAGTTGATGTATTGTATCAGGCCTATTTCCTAAGATTTCTTCTGTTACAAGATGAATGACTCTGGTTTTACTTCCATATAGCCTCTGTTATATAATGGCAGACTTAAGTCAATATCAGCCTGCATGAAATGCCTGTATTTGTGCCTCTTACCCACTGAAGTGTAACAGGACACAGAGAACTAGGCTGGCTACATGTAAACAGAGCCTTTGCTCACATAACTTCACCCAGTTGAACAGCATCTCCCCAATGGAAAAAAGCTGGGGGAATTCTCAAACAAATGTTTTGGCAACAAGTCAGACAGCACTTACACAATACAAGCTGGATCCAGATAATTACCAGAAACTACCCTTCTGATAAACGATATTTAGCTGAGTTGTGGATCAGATTTATTACATTATTACTACATATTCTGTAGGAAAAACTACATTATCAAAGTATATGTTTGTGTTATCCCACACATCATCACATGTTGAGTTAAAATGACTTGTATTCAAGGACATTCTTCCACAGTGGTAAAAATAGTCTGCCTTTGTGCCTTCTACACAATGACTCTTTTTCAACGTGACAAAACACTATTTTAAGGTCACTCAGCTGAAAGTTTTTCAGCAATAAAGAGGCTAATGTGCATTTTTGTGGTGTTTTATATTATGTTTGTATATTCAGTACAAAACAGCTGAGTTTAGACACCACTACTTTAAGTTGTTTCTGACATGACCTTCCGACGCACACACCTGCATTATCTTATCAGTGTGCAAGCACCATTAAAGATAACAAGATGAGTCATAGTGCTAAACACTACAAGGACCTCGCCTGTTAACAATGGACAACTTTCGTTGGCAAACTTTGTGGAACATGTATGTAACATAGCTCATGTGATACCCAGGAGTCCTGAATAATAGTATTATGATTTGCACAAAAATATTAAGCTGCAGAACTGTTTTCAATACTGATAATAACTAAAAATATTTAACTTTTGTTACTTTTTAAAATCTATCTATCTATCTATCTATCTATCTATCAATCATCTGTCTGTCTGTCTGTCTGTCTGTCTGTCTGTCTGTCTGTCTGTCTGTCTGTCTGTCTGTCT